TTTAAGCAAGACAAGCAAACATTCATCTCTTATCTATGTTGCCTGAAGCAGCTGTCTGGAGTCGCTAATGAGCCTTGAACATAGTGTTAATAGGGTGAGGGAGGTTGGGACTAGAAATGAATAGACTTACACAGACTCTTGTCTTATTTCTGGTGACAGGTTCATGTGTTCTGCCCTATGTTTTGATATAAGGTTCCAAGGAGTCTGGGTGAGCTGGTAATTCTTATTCCTTATCTAAGAATGATGCTTCTTGCTTGGTTACGGAGAGTCCTTGGTTATGGTGAAAGACGACCCTGTTCTTTGTCAAGTAAACAATGAAGATACAATGCAACTGTACCCCTCCCTGGCGTTAACCAATGAATGTATGTCAGCTCAAATGATGCACTTTTACCTGTCACCAATGAATATTTCTATATGCTGTTACCTTTGCTTATGTCATTTTTGGATATAAAACCTTTATTTCCCCCCTTATTTTAAACCAGAAAGCAGTTTGTTTAGCTAGCCTTTTAGCTAAGCTCTGCTCTCCAAAATGATTGCAATAAACTTTGTTTGTCCTCCTCTTCACCTGGACTCCAGTTGAGTGTCTTTTATTGGGTTAAGACATTCAGCCATAGATTTGGGCAATACAGTTGACCCTCCAAAGCAGCCATTTTCTCCAGGGATCAAAAACTAGACAGGCTTTGGTGTAATTACAATAGGAAAAATAGGGCTCACCAAAGAAAATTACTCTTCTATATCTTTAACACACTTAGTTGTATTATTATTATAACAAATTTCCTTATAACAAATTTCCTGTATTAACTAGCATTAATTCATTATATATGAAGTACATTTCATGAACATAAGCAAAGCCAGTAAATGATAATATGAGAACAACACAAAACAATAGAAAATCTTGATGTAGTTATTCTTGACGTTGTTTTGGCTAAGCTCCTGGAATGTTTACTCTTTGAGACGTCCTGAAGGAGCTGTAAAGTGTGCAAAGCAAACTGAGGAGTCCTCGTTATACGAGTTCCTGAACAGTGTTTATCACTCCTTTATTTGAAGCTTTGGGAAGACATTAGAGAGAGGTTGCGTTGATCCACATTACTGTCATTCCTGACAACTGACTTGTTTCCAAGCCGAAGAGCCAGCGCTGTCCAAAGACTTCTCCGTGGTCATGTGGCCGGCATGACTAGACACCGAGGTGCACGGAACACTGTTACCTTCCCACTGAAGTGGTACCTATTTTCAAATGAAGGAGTGATAAACACTGTTAATCGTTTGACTTTCCAAACTGTTGACACCTGATCTAGAACACTTCTTAGATACATTGTTTTACGATCATGTTACCATTATAGAATGTTAGAACCTTTGTTTATGTTGTTGATTGTAAAAGTGAAAACCCAATAAAAACAGTTATAAAAAAATACAGAACATTTATTATGAGGAAATTTGTTATAATAATACAACTAAGGCCCCGGTCACACGGACCGGAAAATGCGGGGGGAACATGGCTGTTTGCCCCGGAACAAAGTAACGCGCGGCAGCCCGATCAGACGTCCCGTTGAAGTCCCGTGGTTAGGCCGTTAGGTGCCGATCACACGGCTAGTCTACAGCGCAGCGTGATCACACCGGCAATTGTGCTGTGCTGCTTCTGTGGCAAACGGGATTTTTTTTGTCTCACTGAAGTTTGCGCATGCGCATGATCGTTTGTGTGCATCCTGTGGAGACTTTAAAAAACACATCCAGTTTGCAACGGGACATGGGCGGGCGCTGGATGCCACGGGTTTCTAGCGGAAACGCGATCAGACACCCGCCCTTGCCCCGCATTTTCCAGAACATCATATGTGGTAGTTTTTTACTCTGCATCTTCGGCAAGAAGCCACGGGTGCACTATGCTTCCCAGATGTTGTGGTGTGATTGCGCCCGGAAAATCCGCCATGCACTCATCGCTCTACCGTGGCAAATCCTCGGTATGAACGGGGCCAATGTGTGTTAAAGATATAGAAGAGTGTGCCCTTCTTCGGTGTGCCCTATTTTTCCTATTTTCTCCAGGGAAGCTTATCTCTGTAGTCTGGAGCAACGCTCCCTCTAAGCTGTGGAGTCTTGTGAGCAAAAATTCTACTTTGTGAGCTCCTGGCATTAAAGCTGTGAGTGGCTACTGCACAAATTAGTCTCCTCTGGAGCCACCCTTCCTGAGCTCAGACAAAAATGTGTGAGCCAGAGACTAAAAAATCTGCGAGCTCACACTAAGTCCGCTTAAGAGGGAACACAGGTCTGGCAATGAGCTGTGATTCCGGGGGATCCCCAGGTCCTACCTGGAGGCTGGCATCCCTAGGCCTCTGTCTGCATTCCCACCCACCCCCGCCCTGTTTGCCATGTGCGTTCTTGCGCTGTTCTGAGTCACCCTGTGCAAAGTAGAGTCTTCCGGTGTGGTTAAGGCAATCCGGCGGCGTCCTATAGCCGGAGCCATTCCGGCCAGGTGATTAGCGACTCTGGCCGCCTCCTCCTGGGCGGCTGTTGACGACGGCGACTCAGCAGAGCAACCCCGAGGAGGCGATCACGAGACCTGCCCGGGCCCGGCCGAGGGGAAGGGCGGCGCAAAGGTCCCGCGTTGCGACAGGCGGCGGCCGGCACGTTCCGGGGACTGCGGCACAGGGCGGGAGGAGGAGGCGCCGCGCCTCACGGACCCCCCCTGCCGGCGCCGGGAGGAAGGACGCCGCTTCCTTCTCTTATGCAGGCGGAGGAGGCGAGACTGGGGGAGGGGGGGCGATTGGGGGTCGGGAAGGGCATTCAGGAGTTTCGGTGGGATGGCGGTCTCGTCCGCATCGGACCCCAATAAGGACACAAAGCAGATAGCCCAGCAAAAAAAAAGCAAAAAAAGAGAGGATGTTTTGCCCGACTCCTTCAAACCAGGGGCTACCATGACAAACCTCATTTTAAATACCCCTCTTGTTGAAGCTCCGGTCATGGCTACTAACCTCCCGACCCCAAAAAGAGGACATTTGCATCAGGTTGTTTTTTTTTAAAGAGCCCAAAGAGGACGGACACCCCAAAAAGAGGATACGTCCCGTGTTCCCTCTAAGCTGAGTTAGTGTGAGCTAGCTCACAGTTTTTTTTAGCCTCCGGCTCACACATTTTTGTCTGAGCTCAGGAAGGAGGGCTCCGGAGCAAACTAACTGATGCAGCAGCCAAATCGCTCGCTCACGACTTTGAGGCCGGTAGCTCACCAAGTAGAATTTGCGCTCACGAGACTTCACAGCATAGAGGGAGCATAGAGGACTTCTGGTAACCCTAGATAACCCCAAATCCGCTTCCCCCAAGTAACGGCAGGGGGGGACTCTGTGCTATAAAGGAGGGCAGGATGAGTTCTACCTCTGGCAGCCCCCCCCCCCCAATACCGGTTGGGAAATGGCTGTTAACACGCCGAGTCTCCCTAAGCCAGGATTTAAGGGCACCGTTCCTCTGAGCATATGCAGAGGGAGGCAAAAGGCCTTGAAGGGAACCAGAGGTGATTTCCCCTCCGCCGTTTGCCGCAAGGATTTAAAAGCCCCGTTCCTCTGTAAAGTTGATTCTTAAGACCGAAGCCTCAGTTGTAGTTGTTTTCCTTTCTTTTTTTAAAAAAACCCCAAAGGGAATCGGGGAAGGTCTCGCCAGCCCTGTTTGCTATGGGGGGGGGGGCAAGAAAAGTCACGGTGTGCGTAGGTCTCTCTCCCTCTTCCATTGTGTCCTCTCAACGACCCTAAGGGGTAGGCCGAGACGCTCGTCCGAGCCAGGACGTAATCCCGGAGTTCTAGGTTTAGCGGGCTTGCCCCGTTAAACAACGCTGCTCCTTGGCGACAGGCCCACTCTATCCCTGCCCCGTCTTTGGCTTTCAGCCGTCAGCCTCTTCGAGGCACGTTCGAATCCAGGTGGGGCCGCCGAACGATCTGCAAGGAGGAAACTGTGTTTCAGAGTCACGCGCGGGTTGCATTCCTAGGGCAGCCAGGGTTAGCGCCCCTAGTCTCTTCTGCGTGGGAACTGGGGTTGCCAGCTCCAGGTAAGGAAATTTCTGGAGATTTTGTGGTGGAACCTGAGGAAGGCAGGGTTTGGGGAGAGGGAGAGAGGCCTCCGCCAGATATAAAACCATTGGAGTCCACCCTCCAAAGCTGCCATGTTCTGGGGTTGGGCGGGGGGGAGACGACGACAGATCTTTGTTGTCTGGAATTGAGATGTAATTCTGCGAGCTCGGCAACCCTAGGAATATATTAAGCTTCGGCTAAAGGGACAGGGCATTCTCCCCCCCCCCCCCCCCACCCCCGGCCAACCCTTCAACTTCTCTGTTGCTGCGCGCAGCTCCGGTTCCCCAATCCTAGGTCTGGAAGCAAACTCATCTAGTCAGTGGGATTTATGCTCTCTCAAGTGTAACGTAGGATTGAAGCATTTCTCTCCACCCAGCGTCCCTCAGATGCATCAAGGGGGTGATGTTCCGCTCTAAGGGACAAACTAGGGTTGCCGGCCTCCAGGTGAGGCCTGGAGATCTCCCGCTTTGCCAACTGAGCCCCAGCTGACAGAGACTGGCTCCCCTGGAGGAAATGGCTGCTTGGAAGGGTTGGACTCTATGGCCTTGTACCATGCCGAGGCCCCTCTCCTCCCCAAACCACGCTCTCTCCCGGACCCACCCCCAAAGTCTCCAGGTATTTTCCAACCCAGACCTGGCAACCCTAGATTAACGTCTTTTTATTTATTACCCAGGATTTGGCAAGAAATAGTGTTGCGTCCACCGTTCAGTTAATAGCGGCCTAAGGATTACTCCATTGACCACGGGGGGGGGGGTTTGTCAACAGCAAGAACTCCTTGAAAGCGCGCCCATGCAAGGCCGAGAGCAAAAATTGGGCAGCCCTGCCCAAGCAGCGGTGCGTGCCCAGGCCCGAGCAAGGGGGGTTCATCCAAGAGGGTCAGCCGCGGAGGCTTCGGCTCCTTGCTTTCCTCCCTCCCCCGTCCCGGAGATGGCGCAGTCCGGAACGAAGAAAGGGGAGGAGAGCTGTGTATCGTGGTGACGTCACAATGCCCGGCTCGATTGTTGTGCCGCCTTTGATCAGCTGAGCCGCGTCGGGCGCAGAGAGAGAGAGAGCCAAGCGCCGGGTCTGGGAGAAGCAGCCATGAAGTTCCAGTACAAGGAGGACCACCCGTTCGAGTACCGGAAAAAAGAAGGGGAGAAGATCCGAAAGAAATACCCCGACCGAGGGGCCGGGGGGGGGGGGGGGGGGGGCTTGGCGTCGATCGAGGACCCATCCAGACGTGCTCCGGGAGTTCCGTGTCCCCAAACTATTAAAATAGCAGGATCCCTTCCTCCTCCCGTGCCTAACCTCGCTCCCCAAACTGGGCTGCCGCACGCATTGGAAGGGGGTGGTGGTGGATTTGACTCAGCTGGGGGGAAGCTCCCAACGCGGAACTCACGGCGCATGTGCGGACTGGATGACTCGGAGGGGGGGAGTGCGCCTTCTAAGCTGTGGTTTATTGTGAGCGAAATTTCTGTTTTGTGAGCTACCGGCTTTAAAGTGAGCGAGCGATTTGGCTGCTGCATCAATTAGTTTGCTCTGGAGCCCTCCTTCCTGAGCTGAGACAAGAATGTGTGAGCCGGAGGCTAAAAAACTCTGAGCTGGCTCACACGAACTCCGCTTAGAGGGAATGCTGCTCGGAAGGCGCGTGTTCCGTGGAGGACCTGCTTTCCCGATCTCGGTGTTGCACTGGATGGGCGCGGGATTATTGCCACTACTAAGCCTGGAGGATCGCGTCCCTTTAATGCAGACCGAGTGCGTAGCCGAAGCTTGCCATAGTGTACTATGGAGATAGATAGGACTGTTAAGCTCAAGCTTTTCCCCTTCCTCCAGGCCGTTGGCAACCTGAGATCGTGGGCGTCGCCGGCCTTATGTCTCCCAGGTGTGGCTCTGTCTGGCTTTTGCCTGGGTTGATCAGGATGCTGCGCGGAGCGTAGCTCGCCATCCTCCCCCCCCTCCCCGCCCCAATAAAAAAATGGAGTCGGAAGGACAAGGGCGGTGTGGATGCAGTAACCTTCAGGGCGGGGGGGGGGAGCCGGAGCGGTCTAGGAAGGAGCCATTCCCCGACTCCCCCCGCCCGCCATTGCCTCGGGGCCTGTTTTGACAGATGTCCTTGGCGGTCTCGAGACGGTGGCCTTGGGCCCGGCTGCGCCTCCCCTGCTGGAGGGGATGACGGGCGATTTGCAAAGTCGAGGGGCGGATCTTTTCTGCAGACTCATCTCGGGGGAGGTTTGCCAGGAAATACATAACACTGAAAGCCCGGGGATACCAAACAACAACAACAGCGCTCTGTCCCTTTAAGAGAGGTTTAATGGGTGTGTGTGTGTGGGGGGGTGTTATTGACCACTTGGTGTTATTTACCTTCATGCCTTGGAATTTTCAGCTTGTTCATTTCCACAGGCTTCGGGCCTCCCTTAAAGGGACAGGACGTATTTCTCCCTGTCGGCTCGGGATCCCTATTGCAAACACCTGTCCTTGACCTTACCGAATGTAAGAAGTTAAACTGGACTCACTGGGAACTACCAACTCTCCCCTCCCTGCCTGAGAGCCAGTTTGGTGTAGTGGCGGAGTGCAGATTCTTATCTGGGAGAACCGGGTTTGATTCCCCACTCCTGCACATGCAGCTGCTAGTGTGACCTGGGGTCAGTCATAACTTCTTTCAGAGCTGTTCTCTCAAGGGCAGTTCTGGACAATGTTCCCTCTAAGCTGAGTTAGTGTGAGCTAGCTCACAGTTTTTTAGCCTCCAGCTCACACATTTTTTGTCTTGGCTCAGGAAGGATGGCTCCAGGGCAAACTGATTTATGCAGTAGCCGAATCTCTCGCTCACAACTTTAATGCCAGTAGCTCACAAAGTAGAATTTTTGCTCACAAGACTGTGTGGCTTAGAGGGAACATTGGTTCTGGAGAGAGCTCTCTCAGCCCCACCTGCCTCACAGGGTGTCTGTTGTGGGGAGGGGAAGGGAAAGGGATTATAAGCCGCTCTGAGACTCCTTTGGGTAGTGAAGGGCAGGGGTAGAAATCCAACTGTTCTTCTTCTTCTTCTCTTTATTGTTATTGTATTCTACAGAACTCTCTGACCTGCATTGATGTTGTTTTCCAAACAGAATGTACTTCCAGCCAGATCGTAAACCAGGTGCCATTGGCTTCCAGGGCTTGACTTCAGTAGGGGCTAGTGTAGGGGTTAGAGGGATACCTGGGTTTAATCAGTCAAATTTATCATTACAGTCAGTGACCAGTGCACTCAATAATTTTTCATAAAAACATTTGAATAATAAATATGAGATAAAACCAACAGTGGCATTTTTGTTAAAAATCTGTGACTATAACATAGAGATAAAATAAGACGGCCATAAAATTTGTATATACTTTAAATCAAAGATTAGAAAATCTAATTGCCATGCGTTTTACGCTCCTTGTAAACCTGGGCACAAAATCTAGATACCTGGGTTCAAACTCTCACCGACCAAGGCCACTAGGTGACCTTGGGCTGGTGAGTCTTGCATGGCCTAACCTACCTCACAGGTTTATTGTGAGGATAAAACAGGAGAGGGGAAAGGGGGGAAGAAAAATATAACAGAGAGAGAGAGAAAAATTATTTATTCACTTTCAGTCCCCCCCCCCCCAGGGGGGGCTGATTATCTATTGACACATATTTGGCTGCAATCTTGAAACATGTTCCTTCTTAATGACTTGGTTTTCCAGTTGTGCTCAGAGGTCGGGGCTTTACAGAAATGGAACCAATAAATTGTCATCTTGTTGGTGTCCTCAGGGACCAATCAGAGTGTTTTCCTGGCCCGTAGCTACGGTGCTCCTATTGGTGGCTCTGCCCCCTTCCTTAAAGGGATCCCTTTAAATGCTTTTGAGAAGAAGTGTGTGTGTGTGGGGTGACGGCCTGCGCCCATCTCACTTCATCTTGCAAGATTTAAAGGGCCCTCTGGCTGATCAGCTAAAAGACCCTTTAAATCTTGAGGGAAAGGAGAGAGGCGTGGACCACCGCCCCTTCATTGTGGCAAATAACGGCAGGCCCACCAGAAAAAAATTTGCCCCGCAAGTCACAAAATCCTGGCCACGGGCCTGGTGTTTTCCCCCGTATTCCTCTTGGTTCCTACAGAGCAGTGTTCTATATCACTGTGTCATTCCACTTCTGCAAGTGGGAAAATGAGGCTTCTGTTACAGGAAGTGTCAGAATCTGAGATTTATTTGATTACTTTTTTAACAGAAAATGATAAAAACATTTCTTTATACGAGAAAAACATTTATCTCTAGAGATATACCTAAAATGCTGGATTCCCCCCCCCCCCCCCCCCCCCACCCCGCTAACAGGTTCCATTGCTCTCCAATATTCCTATTTTGGGTAGATCGAGTTGGTCAGCCGTTTTGGTCTGAAACAGTAGAACAGATTTAGAGTCCAATGGTTGTTGGTCTTAAAGGTGCCACTAGACTCTAAATATATCCTATTTTGGGTAAACACAGTCATTGTTTTGTATCTTATTAGGCACTGACATCCCAACATTAGTTGAGTCCCATGTTCCCTCTAAGCTAAGTTGGTGTGAGCTAGCTCACAGGTTTTTAGCCTCTGGCTCACAGATTTTTGCCTTAGCTCAGGAAGGAGGGCCCCAGGGCAAACTAATTGATGCAGCAGCCAAATCACTTGCTTGCATCTTTAATGCCAGTCGCTCACAAAGCAGAATTTTTGCTCACAGGACTCCACAGCTTAGAGGGAGTATTGGTTGAGTCCAACAGTTTTAACGATCATTCTGTTAACAGGGAGGGGGGGGTGTAGCTGTTTGTCGAGCTGAAGCAACCTCCGTGGCACCCGGCATGGCCTACAGGACAGCTATAAGCCACAGAAGGGTAAAAGATAGGGTTGGCAGCTACCTGCCCGGAGAAGAAGTAGTCCTGTCTCTTTATTTATTTATTGTTGCATTTATAGCCCTTCCTCCCCGCAAGTGTGCTCAGGGCGGCTCACATTGCTTTGCACAGTGTGCCAGGATTCATATACACATTTAAAGCATCAAAACATTTAAAACAATCAACAATTTCAAGTCAAAGTGCACACAGTGATTATTTATTTATGTATTGCTTCTATTTGTATCCTGCCTTGCCGGACACGCTGGCTCAAGGCGGCTAACAAAGTTAAAATAACATAAACAATACAGCAAACAATTAATAAATACAATACCAAGTTAAAACAGCAACAGTTTACAAATAAAACCGAAAGATGATGGCGATAGTCTAAATCACATCCAATGATAGGCGTAGCATCCAGCGAGGTCTCAGGCCAGAAGATGTTCTAGATTTCAGGCCAGAAGATGTTCCAGGGCATATTCATCAGTGGCAGCCCCTAGTCGAAAGCCTGGTGGAAGAGCTCCGTTTTACAGGCCCTGCGGATCTGTAAGAGGTCCTGCAGGACCTTGATGTTCTCCGGGAGCTCATTCCACCAGTATGGGGCTGCCACTGAGAAAGGCCTGGTCCTGGTGATATTCAGCCTGGCTTCTTTCGGACCAGGGAGGGTCAAACGATGTTGTGACCCTGACCTCAGTGCTCTCTGGGGCACATATGCGGAGAGGCGGTCCCTCAAGTTATTATTAAGCAAGACGGTGTGCAAGCTCAAAGCAAATACAGGCTCCTGTTCTTCAAGGCGGTTTGGCTCGATCTCAACCACAGCCAGCCTACACCACAGATATTAGTAGTGGTCGTTGATGGTAATGTGGTGGGCGGCTCCTAATTAAAGGCCTGGTGGAAGAGCTCCGTCTTGCAAGCCCTGCAGAACTGTACAAGATCCCGCAGGGCCCTGATCTCCTCCCGGGGCTCATTCCACCAGTAAGGAGCCGCCACTGAAAAGGCCCTGGCTCTAGTAGCCATGAGCCTGACCTCCCTGGGGCCTGGAATGACCAGTCGGTGTTGCGCCCCCGACCGTAGTGTAGACTGTAACAGAGGCTTAATGGGCTGTTATTTACCAGGTGACGTCATTGAACTCCATGCCATAAAAAACCTTTACCGTGCCCATTTCCACACACTTAAAGGGACAGGATGCTTGCACACGAAAGCTGATACATACCCAGAATTCAACTTTGTTGGTCTTAAAAGGAGCCAATGGGCTCAGACTTTGTTCTGCTGCTTCAGACCAACACGGCTACCCACCTGGATCCTTCTCCAGGCCCTGTTAGCAAACCTTGTGATAAC